GGTTGCCTAGATACCAGCCTTGGTATTAACAATGACACCAGCTCTGGTACCAACCACAAGTAAACACGGGGACCCGAAGCACTGGAACTGTTCGTATTGGTTAACGACTATTTGGTGGAAGTCCAGTGCATCATCGGTACCATCTCAGTCCCACAATGAACCACTGATCACTAAAACCCTTCCCACACCAGTTCCAGAAATATGGAGAGACAAGACTCCATGTCCTTCAAGAAGGGTAGAGACATGTATCTCACCAGAGGATATTTTGGTCCTCCCAGACCTGCAGTTTCCCTTACTGATGGAACCAACCCTTACCAGGAAGATTCTGACTTAACAGACAAAGCAGACTGTGGAAAGAGAAGTTCATCCCCTATCCCATCTGCCAGCCGTGGCATCCTGGTTCCGTCTGCACTGAGGGCACTGTCAGTAAAAATTGACTCAATTTTTTCCTCATTCAGGGAACCATATGGGCCTTCAAGAGTAGATCTCAAAAACTGAAAAAAGAAAATTGGGGTAAAGGATGATAAAAGCTGGCATCACCAGCAGACGAGAGGTGGGAGTCAATGGCTCAGTAATGCATAAGGATTGATAACTGAGGTGAGCTAGGCTGTCGAGGACCTTAAAGCTAAAGACCAGTAATAAACCAACTGTGACCTGGGGTGCCAGGGGAGGTTGCAAAACAGAGAGCAGATACTCCCAAGACTGGTGGGTAACACTGAAGTTAAACTCCCCAACCAGTCACAAACTGTGCTTCTGATCCCCAACACTGGTTATCAAGAAGCCAAAAAAAAAAAAAATCAAACAGCTCCATTGGTTGCGTTCCAGTTCTCTGGCTCCCAATCAGCACCTAGGTCCAGTACAGTGAGAAGTTATTTTAAACTCTGCTCACATATACAAAAATGTTCTTCTGACCCCAAAGGGTCAGCTACATTACCAGGTCAGTATAGGTTTGGATCTTACCCAAAACACCACACTTCCAGCCAATCCTTCAGTGTCCAAAACTAAAGGTTTATTATAAAGAAAAAGGAAAGAACAAGAAAGATGTTAAATGGTAAAGCAGTTACATACATACAAAGACTTTAAAGTCCATGTATCAAGTTCCTAGCAGTATTGGTGAGTTTGCCAGCTTGAAAGTCCCCCTGGATCACATCGACAGCTTAGATGGGTCATTCAGTCCTTTGTTCAGAGCTTCAGTTTGTAGCAAAGTTCCTCCAGATGTAAGAAGCAGGATTGAAGACAAAATGGAGAAGATTCAGCTACCTTTTACAGTCTTTTGCCATGTGGTCTGTGCTTCCTTTGTTTCAAACACAAGCTGCCCAGCACATGGCTTCAAAGCCTTAGAGTTCTGTCCATCGGCATGCCCCTGCATGCCTTGCTGAGTTATAACATGTAACTGCCTTCTCTCAATAGGTCAGTTGTATAGCTAATGGTCCTTAATGGGCCATCAAGCAGGCTAGGCAGTGCTGATGCTAAACTTTCTGGGGGGTGTCACCCAGAAGCATAGCACAAGTTTGGAATACAGACATATATACATATCTGCAAAAAGAAAAGGGAGGACTTGTGGCACCTTAGAGACTAACAAATTTATTTGAGCATAAGCTTTCATGAGCTACAGCTCACTTCATCGGCTGTTGCATCAAATTTATTTGAGCATAAGCTTTCGTGAGCTACAGCTCACTTCATCGGCTGTTGCATCCGATGAAGTGAGCTGAAGCTCACGAAAGCTTATGCTCAAATAAATTTGTTAGTCTCTAAGGTGCCACAAGTCCTCCCTTTTCTTTTTGCGGATACAGACTAACACGGCTGCTACTCTGAAACCTGACATACATATCTATAACTCATAATACAAAGGTGATATAAACATACAAATGATTATCATATCTGGCAAATTATAATATTTTTGCAGATATCTTACATGGCATATCTGGAACAACTCATTGCAATTTTACAATATTAATATTCATAATATCCTCAAGTGTCCCCCAGCATCACGGGGAGGGAAACACAAGGGACCAGAGGATGAGGTGGGTGTAATATAGTCAAAACAATTAGCTAGGAAGATGATAGAAGCATTTTGAATGGATTTGAGAAAATGGATGAAGCTGTAGGGTTAGAATAAGAGGAATGGCTCTTCTAAGTGTTTGTGTGTAATATAGGTAGCATTGTATCTTCTCTCACTCACACACACTCACACTCTCTCTCACACACAGAGTCAGGAGTGATAATCCTACAAGAGACACAGAATAGCAAGGCTAGTCATTTTCCCTTTCCACAATACTCCTAAAGCTACGCAGATGAGCTGTGTAAGTAATATTCCAGTCCAGCAGCACTTCAGATTATGTGAAAAGATCTATGTAAATTCATATTGATATATTTGAGTCATTGAGAAGAATAAAACACCAATGAGATTCCGTTTGCTACATGCAATAGCGCTGCGAAAGCAGACAATGAGAAATATATTAAACATGCAAGACATTGCTAGAATATCTCCTAAATATTTGTTCTATTTTAATTTAAATACAGTTGTTTTATATTTACATAACTATAGTTACGTACCTTACAAAGGCCCTTAAAACACTAAGCACACATAGTAAAACGCTACAGGTAGGCAAATGACTTTCCTAGAGGAGGAGACTGGGACTAAAATTGCCTGCTACAAATCTCTGAAAACGTCTGAATAATGAATTGTGCAGGGAATGACTGGTTATTGTAGATGGGCTGTGCCAGTTTGCACAGGCAGTTATCCAGATCTTCAAAATACTGTTCTCAGTAGCTTGCTTAAAAAAATAAAAAAGAAGGCACCTTTGTCTTGGAGACTTATAGATAGGGCCCGGCCAAATTCATGGCCATGAAAAACGCGTCATAGACGATGAAATCTGGTCTTTTGTGGGCCTTTACCCTATACTATACAGATTTCACAGGGGAAACCAGTGTTTCTCAAACTGGGGTCCTGACCCAAAAGGTAGTTGCGGGGCAGGGAAGGTGTCACAAGGTTATTTTTTGGGGGTGGGGTGGGGGGGGTTGCGGTATTGCCACCCTTACTTTTGCATTGCCTTCAGAGCTGGGCGGCTGGAGAGCAGCGTCTGCTGGCCTGGAGCCCAGCTCTAAAAGCAGTGCCTCTGCCAGCAGCAGTGCAGAAGTAAGGGTGGCAAAACCATCCCACACCAGGCCACTCTTCCTTCTGTGCTGCTGCTGGTGGGGGCGCTGCCTTCAGACCTGGGCTCCCGGCCAGCAGCCGCCGCTCTCCAGCCGCCCAGCTCTGAAGGCAGCGCCCCTGCCAGCAGCAGCGCAGAAGTAAGGGTAGTAGTACCACAACATCCGCCCGCCCCGCCAATAACCTTGTGACCCCTCTCAGTTACTTTTTGGGTCAGGACCCCTACAATTACAATACTGTGAAATTTCATATTTAAATAGCTGAAATCATTAAATTTATGACCGCGAAATTGACTAAAATGGACGGTGAATGTGGTAGGGCTCTACTATAGATGTGCTTTTGAACTATGAGAGTTGGGCAACATGGTTTATCTACAATGTTTTTTATAGTTAGTCCTTTAAATAATTTGCATCAAAAATGCTGCATCAGGAAAATTTAGGTTATTGACAATGCTGTTGCCTGCATTAAATTATTGCCACATCATTTAAAAGTCTCTGCATGGCTGTTTGGTTCCTTGTTCTATGCTAGACCTCCCACTTGGGCCTTGGCAAGCTGAACTGAATGCTGTTTTTTTGCCAACTAGTTAGCAATGGCTATCCCTCAGGACTGACACTTTCATCTTTTTCATCTATAAAGTATTTAGCATACTTTAGGTATACACACACTGCAATAAAAAACATGTACTGCTGAGTCTCAGAGCCTGGGCCAGTTGATTTGGGCTTGCAAGGTTTGGGCTGCAAGGCTAAAAATTGCAGTGTCGACATTCAGGCTTGGGCCTGAGCTCAGAGACCCTTCCCCCTCACAGGGTTTCCGAGCCCAGGCTCCAACCCCAGCCCGAATGGCTATGGTGCAACTTTTAGCTCTGCAGTCTGAGCCCCACTTGCCCGAGTCAGCTAACCTGGGCCAGCCATGGCCACGCTGCAAATTTTTATTGCAGAGTACACATACCTGTTGGGTGCTATACAAATAATACAGTTTATAATGTTCTATTTGTCCTTACATGGCAAAAGCTGTTCATTTGCAAGGTCATACATCTAAGAACTAAAAACGTGGGTCATGTTTATATGACTGGGGACTGTGCCTCTGAAAGAGACTCGGGTGTCATGGTGCATAACCGCCTGAACATAAGCTTACATGTGGTGTGGTGGGTAAGAGAAGAAATGCTATCCTTAGAGGTATAAGCAGGGGAATATTGAGCAGAAGTAGGGTGTTACAGTTATCACTGTATACAGCATTAACGAGATCATTACTGGAATACTCTGCTCAGTTCTGGTGTCCATGCTTCAAAAAGGATGAGAACAAAGGGTTTCATAAAAAGAGCACAAATTACTCAAACTGTTTAACTTAACAAAGAGCAGGTTAAGAAGTGGCTTGATCAGCATCTATAAGTACTGTACCTGCATGGGGAAAAATTGCCAATACCAGAGGATTTTTTAATCTAACAGACAAAGGCATAAAATGGCTATAAACTGAAGCCAAACAATTTCTGACTAGGTATAAGGCACGTATTTTTAACATTGAGATTAATTAACGGTTGGAACAATTTACTTAGGGATATGGTATTCTACTTCACTTGAAGGCTTTTTATCAAGAGTGGATGTCTTTCTAAAAGATATGTTGCATCATCACCAGAAGTTATGGGCTTACTACAAGCAGTACTTATTGCAATTGTATGGCCTGTGTTATGCAGGAGGTCAGACTACATGATCATAAGAGCCCCTTTTGGCATTAAAATCTAAGACTCTCTCGTTTACGGTGCTTCTGGAGATAGCTATATTTAAAGATAATTTTACTCTGTTATACAGATCCAGAAAACTTCTGGGTTTTGTTTTTTTTCTCGTTGCAGTTAGATCAGAAAGTGGTTGCAAGTGAGATGTTTAAGGGTAAAAAAGACAATTATCCTCAGAGTGTTCCCAGACTCTTCATCAACACTCGACTTGGTGAGTAGCACTCAGAAACCTGAACAGGGAATACTTGTACTTTTTTTCTCACTCTCTTTTCTCGTCATTTCTCTTCCTGCCATAGTGTTACTCCTGACCTTCTCTTTGGTTTCTCTTCTAGGCACCGAAGAGATAAATCCTAAAGTCCTTCAGGTTTTAGGAAATGAAACGATCAAGGTGAGACTGTGTGTCCTGTGGTTACTGTGAAGCTTCTGCAATGATTCAGTAGAAGTGAACTCTTTACCAAGTGTCTGGCTTTCCTGACATGATGTATGAAGAATTCTACATTAGATTAGGTGGTATCTGTGATGATAACTCTGCGCTGAGGTGTTAATGTTCCAGTTGCAAAAATTGTAGTTTTGAGGTGTGTGTAAATTTGGATTATGGTGTAGAATTTGGAATTGAAAAGGGTGTTTTCCTGCTGGTGGGGATGATACACAGAGATCTTTAGGTGAAAGGAGCTAGAATAGGCCAAAATGCATTATAGACATGAGTTAAATTTGGCCTTTCAACACCACTGTGAACGGGCTGGTATTATCTTCTAGTTGGTGGAGAAATTTAGGTATGGTTTAGGACCATCTTAAATCACATAGGCAGCCCTGAAAATATAAGGCAGAATGCTTGTCTGCCACCCCTATAAACTGTATGCAGTGTTGTTATAGCTGTGATGGTCCCATGATATTAGAGAGGCAAGGTGGGTGAGGTAATATCTTTTATTGGACCAACTTCTGTTAGTGAGAGACAGAAATGCTTTTGAGCTCATACAGAGGTCGTCATCTTCCGGTCTCGGATCTGATATCTTCCATTGTTCTATATAATCCCAAGCCTGAAGAAGAGCTCTAAGCTCAAAAACTTGACTCTCACCAACAGAAGTTGGTCCAATAAGAGTCAAGTTTTTGAGCTTAGAGCTCTTCTTCAGGCTTGGGATTATATAGAACAATGGAAGATATCAGATCCGAGACCGGAAGACGACCACCTCTGTATGAGCTCAAAAGCATTTCTGTCTCTCACTAACAGAAGTTGGTCCAATAAAAGATATTACCACACCCCCCACACCCTTTGTCTCTCTGACTCCCATAAACTGACCACTAGTCAGTGCTTTCTACATTTGATGACAAGAAGTTGCCAATTAAACAGGTTTTGCTTTTGGAAATCATAACACTTGTTTCAGTACGCAGTTCCCGTGGTCAAGTATGACCGGAAAGGATACAAGGCAAGAGTGCGGCAGCTACTTCTCACCCAGAATGCCATCTTCATAGTTGAAGAAGCCAAAATCAAACAACGAATTGACTATGCCAATCTGACAGGTAAGGCAACTGCAGGACACGTGATTTTTGCTCACTTAATGATTAAAGGTGGGCGTGAAGACTCCAGATGTTTGAGTGATCTGTACATAAGAAGGCAGAGTGTTAGATATAGAATAGTCTTTTCACTTTGATATCCTGAAATTGGGATTTCCCAGAATTAAGCTCCTACTAGTGCGCATTGTAAATATTCTTTGTACAAGTGCGATTTTTGGGATGATTCCACAGTTCATCAACTACATACACTTGCTACAAGGGAGTTTCACAGTCTCCAAACACCAGCCAGAACAGTGTTAGTCCATCAGCTTTTTGGGACATTGTTTAGTTTTTCAGGCCTCAGGCGTTTAAAGATTATTGTTGGCATTTGTGTAAAAGTTTATTGGTTTGGATATGCTAGAAAAATGCTAACAAAGTCAAATGCTATTCAGAAATAATTGTACCCAGTTCAGCTCTTGGCTAATGTACTGTGATCACTACTTGGCTTTACCTTGCCTGTGAAATCTCTTCAGACCTACTTACTCCCACCCCCACCCCCTCTTAGTTCCAAAACTTCCTACAGTCCCAGACACTGCAGTCTGCAGCATTATTGCAAGTCCCCTTTCCTTCTTTCTCACCTAGTTGAGTAATTCACTACTGCATTGCTCCAGTCCTGACCTAACAGTCTTGTATTGCAGACATAGTTGCCAACATTTTAAAAAAGTTTTCAAGGGCAACACTAATTCAGGGGTTTGGGTCCCACAAGCCCCTATCATTGCAGGGCTGACCATGTGTTTATTTCAGTGAAAATTAGGTTATTTTAATTTGAATGTCCTAATCTCGGGCTGCAAAATGTTTGCATTTTAGATTTTAATCTGAAACACTTCTAACCCCCAGTATATATTAAAAACCAAAAACATCCAAACCCTTTCAAAACAAAATGATATACCGCACACAGTTCTGGACATGGAAGAGAATGAACCATACATGACAGACGTTAATGCACAACTGGAAGGTGCTCAGATACTATGGTGATAAAAACAGTATAAAAACCTACGTACAATAGAATTTCTGCATACTTCAAATTACCTGGGTGGGCCCATTAGGGTGTGTTTGGGGGAAGACTGTAGGTTCAGTCTCCCCTTCATCTCCATTTACATTTTAAGGAGAAGATGGCAGGTCTGTTCTCTTGTAACATACTCAGGGGCATTTGTCCTCATATGGTCCTCAGTGAAGTCCTCATTCTCAGGGATAACTTAGGCATTTCCTGACTGTTGTTTTATATTCTCAAACATAGCAATGCCATTAATATATGTTTATATTTAATATAAATTTACATTTTGGTTTCTGAGCGATTTATTGGGAGATAGGGACAGAACAATAAGGGGCTGTTCCATTATCTTCCAATTGGAGCACCATACAACTTATTTGTCACACTCATGGAAAATTTCTAAAATGCTTGGAAAATTGATGGAGTTCTTTGTACTCAGTTCAGGCTTCACAAGGATCTAGTATGCAGACTGTCTAGGCGTCACAATATATTGGAGTCAAATGGCGTTTCTGTTTTGCAGGAATCTCAGTCAGCAGCTTGAGTGACAGTTTGTTTGTGCTCCATGTGCGCTGTGAGGATAACAAACAGAAGGTAGGGGAACCTCATCTGTGTCATTTACTGTCTCACTATCCGTAAGTGTTGAACGTCCCAACCTGTATGAAACAGCTGCAGGTCCTGAGTTTTGGGAAGAAGGAGAGAGGGAGTATTCAGAAGAGCTAGAGAGAAGATATAAATAGATGGAATGCAGGATGGAACCTAAATCTAACTTACTCTTGATTTGTCACCTCTTTCTAATTGGGTTGGGGTTTTTTTTCTTGTTTTTTGTCATTGTCCTGTACTACAGAGATGGGTTCCCGCATAGGCGCCGACTTCCCCTCTGCCCCGTGGGTGCCCCACCCCTGCATCACCCTCGCCCTACCCGAATTCCACCCCCTTCCCCGAAGTCCCGTCCCCGCCCCACCCTGCCTCCTCCCCCTCTCTTCTGGAAAGTCCTAAGCACTGCCAAACAGCTGTTAGGCGGGGGGGTGGTACTGGAATGGGACACAGGACACTTGGGGTGGGAGGGGGGAACTTGGCTGTCAGTGGGTGCAGAGCACCCACTAATGCAGCACCCACAGAGTCAGCGCCTATGGGTTCTTGATGGATGTTCCAGCAGTTTGGATTGATTCTGTATCTTGGCTTATTACTGACAGCCTCAGAAGTGTTTGAGTCCATAGTGTGTATCGGGAGATTTACATTATGATATATATATGTCGTGGACTTCTCCAGCAAGTCAAGCTCATACAAATACAGACTATCCTGCAGGTCCATGGGGGTAATTCTAGGTTCTTATACACTGAAATAAAATCTGTTATGAATTAGTGATTACAAAGATCTTTTATGGCTTTTTTCAGGGAGATGTTGTACTACAAAGTGATCATGTCATTGAGACACTAACCAAAACTGCCATGAGTGCTGACAAAATCAATAATGTCAATATCAGTCAAGGCAGGTGAGTTAAGAAAGAAGTTCCTTTTTTGTTCTAAATAGGGTACTCTGTTCAAGCCTTGTTGGAAAGTGAAAAGAGTGTTACAGTTAATCTAAACAAATGATTGACTTCAAAACCTACTTAACTGTATGTTACTAATTACGTTCTCACAGAAGTAGCAGATCACTTGTCACTGCTGCATGATGAGACTGTAGCTGTACTGACTACCATGCTAGCCATGACATCATTACTTTTCTGTCACTGACAGAGTGATGCGTCACTGTGGCAACACGGAGCCTGTAACAATAAGGAGTACAGTAGTTCTTCGCGTACTTACTCAGGTTCATTCCATGTCAGGTGTGTGTGCTCACCACATGCACTGGTGCTGGAAATTTTCCCCCAGTGGAATCCACAGGACCAGCTCCAGTGCCCTCTGGAGTTTTGCGTGTATCACCAGTACAAGGAACACTGCCAGTTTCCCTTGTCCCCCTCCCCACCCTTTCAATTCCTTCTTACTGCCAGTGACAGTGCTGGAACATCCTCCTGCTTTGGCAAGGAACTTAGCTTAGGGACAGGGCTTGCCCCATGTCCCCGGACTTCAAACCGCTTGAGCGGTGCAAGAAGCCCATGCCAATCAACGATCCCCACCAGAGCTGCTTGAAGTGCCTGGGGGAGACCAATGTGCATGACAAGTATAGAATCTGAAAAGGATTCAAGCCACGCACTAAGAAGGAGCGAGACATAAGGCTGAGAGTGCTGGTGCCCATAGTCGCGGCATTGCTCCCCTGCACCGCAACGCTCAGCATCACGCCATCGGTCTCTGGAGCTGTGCTGCCAGTCTTCAGAGACCACCCAAGTCCTCAGCACCGATCTCTGGAGTTTTGGCACTGGTCCCCAGACTCGTGGCAACGATCACCAGACACTCAGTGTCAGCCTCCTGAGGCACACTATCAGTCCCCAGAAACCCGGCACCAGTCCCTGAAGCCACAGTGCCGGTTCCCGCGGTCCCACTCTGTCACCGGAGCCCCGGCACCGATCCCCAAGCTTGAGGCGTCCATCGCCAGAATACCATTGCCAATTTCCCCCGAGCACCATCGCCAGACACGTGGCACCCTGATATGGAGCTGCGATACCACTCCCCAGTTGCAAAGCACTGGATCATCTGGTATGTTGGGGAAACAGAAGCGGTGGCACTGACCTGATCACCAAGGGAAGACCTTCCTCCTCAGGCTCTGAGCATGAGGAAGTCACAGGGGCCAGGCGCACTCTGCAATGCCAATGGGTTTTCCCCCAGGACTGCCAACAAGCACATGGCCCCAGAGCCAGTGGCCTGCACCCTGGCAGTTTTGAAACCCATGGGGCAGTCTCCCACCATTGCAGAGTCCCAGGTACAGCGCTCGGTGTCTGTGGCATCGGAAAGATGGTTGGCAACGGTCTCCTGACTGCCTCAGACAAGGGGTCACTTCAGGGTACTCAGGAGCCTCCACCAGCTTTGGATGAGGCTGCCCCAGCCGGGGAAGTGGAGTCGGTCCCTTCCCTGCTTCTAGCCTCATCTTCCTCACCCGATGAGGCAGGGATGGGACCATCACACGCGGTGCCAAGAACTACTTAAGCATGTGGCCACTACACTTGGACTGGAAGCAGAGGAGTGTTGGAACCAGCTGACACCATATTTGACATCTTGGCTGTAGTGGCCCTATTGAGGGACAGACACCCTGCCTGTCTATGAGGGTGTCATAAAACTGGTCAAGGTCTTATGGCAGACCCTAGCCTCTCTGTCCCCTCTTGCAAAGCATGCAGAGAGAAAATACTATGTCCCTGCTAAGGGCTTTGAGTATCTTTATTTCCACCCCTCCCCGAGTTCTTTGGTTGTATCTGCTGCCAATGAGCAAGATAGGAAGGGTCAAACCAGTTCAACCCCCAAAAATAAAGACACAAAGAAGCTCAATCTTTTCCGCAGAGAAGTTTATTCAACTGCCAGCCTCCACTTGCGTGTCGCAAACCACCAAGCCCGGCACAGGAGGTATGATTTCAATGTGTGGCAATCCATGGCGAAGTTTGCAGACTCACTGCCACAGGAATCCAGGCAGGAGTTTCTGGCCATACATAAAGAGGGTAAGACTGAGGTGAGGGCTTCCCTCCAGGAGGCCTCTGACGCAGCCAACTCCGCAGCCAGAACGATGGTGTTGGCCATTTCAACAAGATGGGTATCATGGCTGCAGTCCTCAGGCCTTTCCACGGAGGTCCAGCAGTCCATTCAGGATCTCCCTTTTTTATGGATTGAATGTGTTTCCTAAACAGATGGTTGCATGGTCTGAAAGACCTTAGGGTTACATTACACTCCCTGGGCCTTTATACTCCTGTGCCTGCAAGGAAGCGATTTAAACCCCAGCAGCCTCAGAGATTTGTAGGCCAGACCAGATCAGAGCCCTACTGAAAGAAGCACTGGCCACATTCACCCAGTCGGGCTCTACCCAGTACACACCTGGAAATAAGCAGACACTTTGAGGTCGCCCCCAAGGGCGACCTCCCAGTCTACAACCAGGATCCAAGCACCCTTTTATTTTCAAATGGTCTCTTTCCCTACCTCCCTGCTTGGGCCACTATAACATTGGATCAGTGAGTGAGTGCTCAGCACCATAACAGTGAGATACACCCTCCAATTTTTTTCCATCCCTTCTTCTCCCCACCCTTCCCTGTCCCTCTTCAGGGACCCTTCTCACGAGTTACTGCTCGCCCAGGAGGTGCATGCCCTGTTGTGGGTGGGGGGCCATATAGGAAGTTTTCAAAAGAACTGAGAAGGAAAGGGTTTTACTCCTGCTGCTTTCTGATACTGAAGGCCAAAGGGGGTCTACAACCAATCTTGGCCCTGCAAGGCCTCAACAAATATCTCAAAAGTTGAAGTTCCACATGGTCTCTTTGGCCTCCATCATCCTCTCCCTGGATCCTGGAGACGTGTACGTCTCAACTTAAAGAATGTGAACTTCCATATTTCTATTTTCCATGGGAACAGAAGGCTCCTATGATTCGTCGTCGGGCAGACTCACTGCCAATTTACAGTGCTCCCATTCGGCCTAGCAACAGCCCCAAGAGTGTTTACAAAATGTATGGCAGTGGTCACAGCCTACCTCAGACATCAGGGTGTTCAAATTTACCCATACCTTGACAATTGGCTCATCAAGGGTCACTTGAGAGTACAGGTCTGTAGTCCAAGCCACGTGCCAAGTGCTGGGCCTGTTGATAAATGAACAAAAATCAACACTGGTGCCAGTGCAAAGGATAAGAGTTTATAGAAGTCCTCGACTCTACTCGCACCAGAGCCTTCTTACTGGAAGACAGATTCTTGTGCAGTGTTGGATCTGATTGTCTAAGTCACAACCCATCCGCTCAGCAAGCCCAGGTATGCCTCGGACTGCTAGGGCACATGGCAGTATGCACCTATGTGGTTCAGCACGCAAGACTGCAATCTCAGACCACTGCAGATGCGGCTGACGTCCATCTACTCCCCAGTCAGGCATCACTTGGACAAGTTCCTCACAATTCCACTACAAATACTTACCTCCTTTGCATGGTGGTTGAACCCACACAATGTAACCAGAGGAGTTCCGTTTGCAACCCCATGGTCCCTGGTGTCAGATGCCTTGGGGTTGGGAGCCCATCTTGGTCCCTCAGGACTCGAGGCTTATGGTGCCAACAGGAGCTGTTGTTAAATATAAAGGTCAGAGAGCTCAGGGCCATCCATCTGGCTTGTGAAATATTCCTTCCCCAGCTCTCAGGCAAGGTAGTGCAAGCGTTGTCAGCAAACATGGGGGAGCGTGGTCATTGGCCCTCTGCCCAGAAGCCCTTAGCCTGTGAGACTTCTGTATCCAACACACTATCTATCTGGAAGCCTTGCTTCCCCGGGGTCCGGAACACCCTGGCAGATCGCCTTAGCAGGTCCTTCTTCTCTCACCGTAAGTGGTCCCTCCACCTAGAGGTCATCAGGACCATCTTCCAGAGGTGGGGAACTCCTCAAATGGACCCATTGACTACCAGGCAAAACAGAAAATGCTACCAGTTAAGTTCCCTGCCAGGTCTCGACAGCGGTTCACTATCCAATGCCTTTCTTCTATCATGGGCAGGCAACCTGATGTATACCTTCCCACCAATCCCACTCATCAACAAGGTCCTCCTGAAGATAAAGACAGACTAACCGTGAGTCATTATGATAGCCCCAGCATGGTTTTGCCAGCATTGGTTTGGCATGCTCATGGATTTAGCGGCGGCAGCCCTTTGGACATTTGCCAACCACCCAGATCTGCTCTCGTGGGACCCGAACCTTGCCTCCCTACTAAACCTGACAGCATGGATGCTGTATGGCTAAGCCTCGAGGAACAAAACAGAAAACCCTCCACCAGAGCAACTTGGCTAAGTAGAAACAATTCACCTGCTGGGCATCTGAATGGAACTTTTCTTCAGCTCAAGTCTTTTTTTACAATCCATTCTGGAATACCTGCTCCATTTAACGCACCAAGGTCTGACACTCATCAGTCAAGGTGCACCTGGCAGGCATATCGGCTTTCCACTCTCACATCCAAGGTAGATCAGTCTTCTTACAAGCAATGATGATGGACCTGCAGAAAGAGTCTTTCAAGGCGTTTAAAGAATCTCTTAAATGCCGCAGGTCCATGATCCGGTTCCCTAACGGGATCTCAACCTGGTCCTTGCCAAGCTCACTGGTCCTCCCTTAGAGGCCCTTGCCTCCTGCTCTCTTACATCTTTTGTGGAAGGTCACCCTCCTTGTAGCCATCACTTTGGTGAGACGAATCTCCAAGATTAAGGCCCTGACCTCAGAATCCCTCTGTTACGGTGTTGTACAAGGACAAAGTCCAACTGTGCCCCAACCCAGCCTTCATGCCAAAGGTGGTATCGCAGTTCCATGTCAGTCAGGGTATCTTCCTGCCAGTGTTCTTCCCAAAACCATAAAATTCCAACAAGGAGATGCGTTTGCATATTCTGAACATCAGATATGCCCTGGCCAACTTTGAGCCAACCAAGCCCTTCTGCAGGTCTACTCAACTTTTCATTGTGGTGGCTGACAGGATGAAGGGTCTCCCAGTGTCATCTCAGAGAATTTTCTCCTAGATCACCACCTGCTTGTGGATTGAGCTACCACTGGAGGGACTCAAGAACCTGAGGAGAGACCACGACCAGTCTGTCTATATGGTCCCGGTTCGGTCTGCACACAGGGAGGGTGGGTGGGACAGAAGGAGGGAACAGAATTGGAGAGAATATCCCAATTCTACAATGCTCAGGACCCAGTGGTCTGAAGTTACTTGAGCCCAGGCATGGTAGAAATGGTATAGATGGTTCACAAAGGGAGGAGCAGGATCCGGGCATTGAACTGGTGCTCCATCCTCGGGTGCACCTTCAAAAGTTTGGCTTTGAGCTCGAAGGCTGCTTAGCTGAGCCCTAGCCCTGGCCGAAGGAGGACTGAGATTGGTGCCTCCTGTTACTCCTGCCGTGCTTCCTAGCAGAGGTCCCCAGTCAGGACATCTTTTTGTCACACTATGCCATCACCCAGCAGGCTAGAGATGATGTTGTGTTTGGTAGAGCAGTGCTTCAGTCTACAACTCTGTGAACTCTGGCCCCTCCTCCTGGGGACTGCTTGGAATCACCTACTTGGAATTGACATGAGCAATCACGCAAAGAAGAAAAAACTGTTATCTACCTTTTGTAACTCTTGTTCTTCGAGATGTGTTGCTCATGTCCATTCCAAGACCCATCCTCTTCCCCTCTGTCGGCGTAATCCGGCAAGAAGGAAATGAAGAGGCGGCGGGTCAGCAGGGCCAGAGCTCCACAGCCGACCCGATGAGTATTGCTAGGGAAAAACTTTCTGACGATTGTGCATGCGGCATGCACGCACCTACTTGGAATGGATATAAGCAACACATCTCGAAGAACAACACTTAAAGAAAAACCTGTTTTTTCTTTGAGATGTGTTGGGTCATGGAATGGACATGAGCATTCTCCTTCCCCTGAGTCGGAGTTCTGGCAAGGAAATGAGGGGAGGGGCACAGCGGTGTCCCTTATACCAGCGCATACATGGGCGATTCTGGATACCACTGGGGGAAAAGCTTTAGGCACCAGTGCATGTGGGGCGCATATACACCTGACATGGAATGGACACAAGGAACACATCAACAGTTGAGAGAGGCACGTAACCATTTTTGGAAGTATTTGCATTGTACTGTAGCATTAAGCAAGTGTTGCTGTGCTCAGAGACAGACAAACATTTCCTGTAAAATAGCCACAATTATACTGATCATGAACAAGTTGGGAGTTAGCTAAGATACCACTTACAAACCATGTGAGGACTCTTCCTTTGTTTCTTTCAGCATAAAATTTACAATTGGGCAAGGCAAAGAAGGAATAATTGACTTTACTTCAGGATCTGAACTGCTCATAGCCAAAGCCAAAAATGGCCACCTTGCTGTGGTAAGTGTCTTCTGTTGTAAGAGTTTGCACAGCTTGAGAAGGAAAGTAATTAATCTAAATGTGTTTAGAAAAGTGGGTTTTAAATTATGGTAGTCTGTGTTTTATACAGCATCCCTGACACATGTCAAGTCCCCTACACAACACAGGAAGCATTTGCATCCCAACCTCTCTCCCATTCTGAGACATTTGAGGGCAGCACACTTCTTTTCCTGCAATTACCAGAAATTGTTCAGACCTGGCCATGCTGCTTCTCTACCTGTAGTGATGCAGCTCAGTGTTCCAAACCCACATTATAAAGTGTTGTTTTTAGAGCAGCAATAAGAAAAAATCCTTTACCCCAATCTCAGCTCCCCTCTGGGACTGAAATAGCCATATTGCGGCTTGAACAGGACTACTTGTCATACTCCTCCAGATTTGTTCCCCTCTGCTATCATGTCACAGCAGGCCAAATGGAGCAGTGTGAAGGCTCCATCTGTGAGACCCCCTTTCAGGAGCCACAGAAAGGGGAGCTCTCCCATATTCACAGCACAGAGGTCCTCGCTGTGCCAGCTGAATAGAGCTGTCTGTTCTGCTGGTTGGGGTCCCCAATGTGCAAACATGCTAAGATTCCTCAGGGGAGGAACCCAGCAAATTGAACAATCCTTTCACGTCAAAGACTCTCCAGAGGTAAGTCCAAACCCATTGAATCTAAAGTCTCCATCCCAGTTTCAGACTGGTCAAGAAGTCAGTCCCAGAAGGGAAATAACTTTCCACCCCTCTCCCCCCTAAGGTGGAACCATCTAAGATAGCAGCCCTACAGATTGGGGTTTTGAGGAGGGCAAGTGAGAGGAGAGTTACTTATTCACATAAAACAGAAGACTTTACATAACAGAATTGTTGGAATTTGGCCAGGACACTGAAACCAGCATCCCTTTTCTGGGCTATGGACACCTTCCATAGCCCCAAGTGGTCAAGGCCCCTGTTTGCTCTTATGCCTATATGATAATGTATCCCAAAATATTTTATGATTTTCAATCCTTTGGGACTGTCCATAGTGTTTGCCAATTAAAAAAGTTTATGTGGACTCAGTTTCTACCACATGGAACAAGCAAAGCAGATCTTCCTCCACTGATAACCCTGGTAGAAGTTCCAGGCTACTGGGGTAAACAGTTGGGAGTCTGCATGAGATTTAAGAAATACTGTCTCCCTGACTTCCTGCACTGGCAAATCGGTGCGTTTGCTTCCTGATTTACAGAATCTGGCTGAACTTGTTAGATCAGGACAAGTTCTTATTTATTCTGCATATCATACGGGGTAACTCTGCTCCAGTCCAGACTTCAGTATCTTCATGGGGTAATTGTTAAAAACGTTTGCAGTATCTTTGTTTCCATTCTAGATTCTTTGCCTTTCTCCTCTTCAGGTTGCTCCTCGTTTGAATTCTCGATGATAACATTTGTCAGCAGGAAGGGATCTGGATTGCCTTTTATACAAGTGGCTGGACATAGTGGCCTGCAGTTTTTTTTTGTTTTGTTTTTGTTTTTGCTGCTTTGCTCATTTTCTTAATAGTTACCAAAGAACTACACTTCCATAAAACAAAGTGAAAACAAGAGAATGTAATCTGAAACTACCCCAAAAAAAGCACCTTCTCTTTCCCCCTCCAACTACTTGGGTCTGAGTTTGTTTCCACAGCTGGGGCTTGTGAAACTCATGTACTTGGCTGGCCTTGGGGGGAGTTAAGGTTGTCAGAGACCAAGCCCTGAAGTGAAATTACCAGCTTTTTCTCATCTGTCCTGATACATACATACGAAAGCATGATCATAAGAAATATGAAGTGGCAGATCTGTATTGGCCAACTCAATAAAGTGCCAGACTTTATCATCTGAGAACATTTTATGAAGAATTTTGCTTTGTCACTTTCTGATGCTTTGTATAAAAATAGTAAAAAGCCATATTATATAAATGAGTAAAACCCTGTAAATATTTTTTAGCTCAGTGGGTGAGTTGCACTATAAAAAGCAGAGAGTCTATGGGAACTTTTGAGCTTTTTAAAAACAATTATGGAGGTAATGTAGCAACTGTACTCTTTTAAAGCACCCTTCATGTGGAACCTGCCTTCCAAAGGTGTCCCCTTTACCCTTTTCTTCTTGTACTGTAATGCCTGTTTCTTATGCCTAAACATGTGCATAAAAGACTGCCTCCTTTTTGCAGATACACACAACTCTTCCTCCCTCCCCTCCACCTGAAAGAGCATGTGTGTTTATTGGTCCTGGCCACATGGCTGGTATTGGTGAAAGATTCACAAGTGACCTGTTCTGTTAAAGCCCTTGGTCTCTCTGCCCAAGCTGCTATTTGCTGCAGTTACTCAGCAGCACTGTAGGAAAATCGCTGCATATTGGCAGGAGTACCCAGGCATTTGCAGTCTCAAACACACCCAGGGCTTAGACATAGCCTTCCACAAACAAACACTGTTTTAAATGGAAACAGGTGGTTTATTCATCCCCACCTGGATTACTGCTTGGCCACATGGTGCCTGCACTTTGTGGAATCTTGCCATTAAATTCCATGCTATATCATTTTACTCTGAACTGTGTCTGTTAAAATATTCACCAAAACTGCACTAGAGGAAGAGCACTACTGAGAAAAAAGCACTAAATATGAAGGGTTTGGGTTTGTTTGTTTTTTGTTATACATAAATTTAGGAGGAAAAAGCTTGGTGGTGAATGCTTTCTAGTAAACAGCTGAATCACAGTGAGATGCAACTGCCACAGTCAACATTCTCCTGGTAAAGATAGGCTGCAAGGCACCATGTACTTGCCTTCTTTGGGGCAGAGCATGCCTTCACAATTCCATCTGTAATCATGGGACAGTGCACACCAGTGGCAGCACGTTTGGCCTGCCAATGAGCTCACTCTAATACTTTTTTTCTATTTCATGTGCTATCAGATAAACACTGCCTCAAGCATGGAATGCTGTACACCCTCTAGTGTGTATACACTCAATGATGTAATCCTAAAAGTCTGCTCAATAAACTTTTTTTTTTTTTTTTACAAAAAAGCTGAAGCTTTATTTGAGTCATTTTTGTTTATTGTTAAGCATTTCTACTAAAGGCTATGTAACAGGTGAACTAAAGTGAGTTTGTTAGCAACTACCCTAAAAACAGTAACATTCTTACTTTTATGTGACTGAGTGTAGTAAGTAAGGCAACACCCATGAGCAGTAGTTTATTATCTAACCCCCTCAGCTGTAACTAGGGGTGTTAACAGGAAGGATCTCCTATCATGTAGCTACAGCCTTTTGGGGAGGTGGTGGACCTATGCCAATAGGAGAAGCTCTCCAACCACTGTAAGTAGCATCTTCCTTAAATGCTGCAGTGTAGACAAACTCTAAACCTGTGCCTTAGAGAAACATAAAACCTGTAACTAAAGAGAGGTGGGATGAGGAGAGAAAAAGCAGAATTTATTACAATAGGCATGTTTCTCATAGTGTTCTGCAATGAACTAGTCTTAGCCCAATATTAGGCACTAGCTTTAATTACTGAGCTGGAAAGAGACCTAAAATCCCTTAGTAAAATGTGCATGTAACAAAAGTTGAGGCCACAGTAAATAATGATGGTGGCCAGGTATTTATGACCTGACCCATTCAATAAAGTGGGCTCACCTGACTCACATACACATTTTAGTATAGCCAATAGCAATATTACACATCCAGGCATAAAGACTATCCCAGTTTACATGATGAAGCACTACAGGCTACCAAACAGTAAATTAGGCCTGGTCTACAATTCAGTTTTGTTGACAGAGCAGTGAAAACACTGATATTCTGCTACTAATTTAACTCCACTCATACACTAACATAATAAAAAACCCTCAATGAGTGGTGTAGGTCTTTTTGCAACTATGACCATGTCTACACTAAAGTTGAGCTACTCTGTGGAAAATTAAAGGTAACAAGATGGAATCTGGAGTCAAATGGGCAAATCACATGTCAATGGCTGCTTCACTTAGTCAGAGCAGAGGCCATTACCCATACTCTAGTTAGACCATCCTCAGGAAGTCCATTAGATGCAGATAAGCTTCTTCCAGGTCCACTGTGTTAATTGATGAGCTATCACTTGACTACTTCATTCACAATGTAAGTATTACCAAAGGAGCAAACATTTGCAACACAGGTAGTTAATATTCATAACTTCAGATACAAAATGGTGAATACATGCAAGTAGCATAATCATTCAACAAGTCAGCTTTTCCATAGACAACTTACATCCCCTAATTGCAACAAATCTTGAACAAAATATGTAACAGAGGTAGAAACAGTGATCTCCATGGTCATATTTTGATCATAACACATCATTGTCAGTCCACGCTGCTTTGGATAGTTATCAGGCAGAACCAGTCATCAGCATTGGATGCATGCTGTCTGGAAGGGTAGTTGAAGCATGAAGGAACATATGAATCTTTAGTGCAGCTGGCACGTAAATATCTTGTGATGCCAACTACAACACTGCCATGTGAATGTGTGTTCTGCTTTTCAGGTGACATTTTAAACAAGATGCAGGCAATATTTCCCACAACTATAAACAAACTTGTTTGAGCAACTGCTTGAACAAGAAACAGGGCTCAGGGGACTTGTAGGCTCTAAAGTTTTACATGGAGTGGGCTCCCTGCTTTAAAAAAAACAAAACAATTCTACAATTGTAAGTTCAACTTTCATGATACAGAGACTGTACTACAGTACTTTTATTAGGTGAATTGGAAAATACTATTTTTTGCCTTTTACAGTGCAAATTCATCAAAAATATAAAGTGAGAACTGTACACTTTGTATTGTTATAATTGAAATAAATATATTTGAAAATGAGACAAACAATACCACCAAATATTGGTTGAACACTGTGCTTAATTGCCTGATTGAGATTAATTTTTAGTCATTTGATAGCCTTAGTGTATCGTAATGTTCTAATTCTGGAAAGGGCTGGTGGGAGATAGCTCTGAGGCAACAGAGAGCAGCTAGCTACTAACCCTGCATTTGTTCTAGGTAACACTTACAGGAGGTATTTTCTCCCACTGTACTTCATGGCCAGCTTCAATTTGCCATTTGACCTGTATTTCTTTCTATAGCATCTGGCAGGATCCAGGTTTCTTAGTTTATTTTTCTGACAACCCAGAATAACTTCAGCTTCTTTTCATATAAGTCCCATCATATCAGTAAGATGGCCAAGAACTTGCATCATCTGATCCAAAAGCTTCATACAACAGCCCTGTACGCCCCTCCCCCCTGCTGCCTCCAGAAAATGGTTGAGGGACCATACTTGCAATTCCGTCTACTCATGTAAGGCATTGCTTTTGAAAGCATGCAGGGGGACCTAGGATGTCAGATGACAGTTCATGTTTGTTTTTATGAAGGAGGGGGCTGACAATATCTGGCTGGACTTGGCTGCCTGTGAAGGGCCTGTATAGTGAGATGACCACTCCTTCAGGTAAAAATCTCTCCCCCTTAGAAACACCGAGTCCCTAACCACCAGGGATATTTTCACTACTGAAGATAAATGTGGCTATCGGGTTAAATTCTGACTGTTGCCCACTAAGGAACTGTCTGGCCTCCTAATATGGAGGCCAGGGAGATCAAGAGAAGTAAATAAGGGATGGGCTGAGGCCCCTTAGTACTTGCCAGTTCTTCTACAGCTGGACCTGCTGTCCCTCTCATCACTCCATAGTCACCTGCTGGGCAGAGAAGGTGGTGAAGACAAGCACCCTGTAACAGAATCTGGGAACAATGGCATTAGGACATGGCAATCAGCAGCAGCCGCTGATCACAACCACCTGTTATTTTCCCAGTCCTTTAAAGGTGGCATAAAATCCCTATCCCATTATTCAGTCTTTCCAGCATGCACAATATACAGCTATACCTTTATCTGGGGCAGCTGCAGACCTCCCAGGCATTATTTCACAATATGCAGTTCATTCTTCTGAGTCTAGCTCACCTTTAAAAAAAATATATGTATTTTACTATTTGATTCTCTGTGTAGGTGTGCAAGGTAAATATACTAATTTTATTAGTTTATTTCCCCTTTGGCAGTTTGCCTCATCATCCTGCTTCAGCAGCAGGAGCAAAAATGGACTCCCAATACTCTGAAAATGTTTCAAGTGGCTAATGCTCTCCTGTTCTCAAAGAAACTGGGTTTATTTGTCTCCCTATGTCACTGTCTCTCAATGTAGGCACTTGCCTGGAGCTAACCCTAGAACCTCTCTAGGCAGGATCCACATCAGACAGATGTGTCTTTCTCCTGGAAATCTCACCTTGGAATAACAGTATGGGGGCACCTGGTATAGAAGAGGCAGCAGGGAGAGAGGACTGGGCTCAAATGCCCCTTACCACATTCTTTGGTGGTTGTATCGTCCATACTCTGTCTGGTCCCCTCCATCCACAACCTGAAGGCTGAGAGGCAGCTGAGCTCCATAGTCAAGGGGTGTGTGGCTGCTGGTGTGGGTTGTAAGGACTCAGGAGTGACCTCCCATCTGGTATGCTGCCCTTCAACTTCATTCCTCTCATGGAGATAGAAGTGGGGCTGCTTTCCCTGGAGCATGTTCTTTTCCAATCTGCTGCCTCTTTTTTCCTGCCTGAAGGGGAACCCTATCCAATCTGGGCTGCTTCTTACCCAGTGGACCTACCTTCTCCCAACTTGCTTGGCATGGGGGAGAAAGGGCATGCAGAGGCAACTCCACTTAGGATGTAATTTTTCCTCAGCCCAGCCCAACTGCAGAATCAGCTGAGCTCCCAACAAATGGAGCTGAGGGGACAATTTCCCCCAGCAAAAGCAAACAGCCATGGGACACAGCTGGTTAACATTGCTGAACCACGTTTTAGTTTAAAAATCTGAAATACAGTTTGGAATTTTTCTCAGAACACTGTGGCAGCAAAGAGGGTATGGTTGAGCCTGCCTGCTGCTGTGACAGCAGGAAAAAAAAAATGAGGGAAATTCCAGAGGCAGGGCAGTACCCCACAGCCAGTGACTGACAGATCTGGTTCTGGCTCCAAGCTGCATGAAGCTGAAGAACCCCATTGTAACAGATCTGGCACAAACAATGAGCTAACATACAGCCTGTGTTACATACACTAATGGCTCCAGTTCTTTAGAAATGGGGACTAAGTTTCAAAAGTGATCAGCAATTTTGGGTATTCAACCACAGACACCTTAAAGGGGCCTGATTTCAAAAGGGTCTCAAGTTGGGCACCCAAAATCTAGTAACCTGTGAAAATCCATCATACTATAGAAACAAGCCCTTCAAAAGCTCAGTGAGTCCATCTGAATTTCCTTTACCAAATACTTGTTACTAGTGTTTAAATGTAAGCCATCCTGCATGTATTTTTTTCATTCCCACTATTGCCCTCCCCCCTCCTTTGAAGTGTTCAAATTTTCCTGCTACTTATAATGTAGGAAAGTCTACTCTAGCTAATCCAAGTATAAAAGAGGAACTCACAGTAATATTTGGCATTTTTTAATTTAGGTTTGTTTTATTTAAGTTTAATGTTAATTCCATGCTGTGTTTCAGTAAGAACAATACAGATTCTGTATCTGTGGCTCCAGTCAGATATCCAGTAGTACAAATTAGCTTCAAGTTACACATACTGAACAAAAGAGGTTGAGCGAGCGAAGGGGAATAGGGATGGGGAAGGGAAAAAAAATATTGAACACGCATGCAGGCTTTTCAATGCCACCTTCAATGCTAACCTGCTTTGAGGAAAAGTAAAAAGTAGGCAAGAATGAGCAGCCACGGATTGTTGAACTGTTACCAGCACCATATTTTTCAGCAACATTTCAGCAGTTTGGAAACTTCTTTTAAACAGTAAAATCACTACAATAAACGTTCCAATGCAACCTGAAACTTCAAGCTAAACACCCAATTAAGTTTAAACACTGGTATAAAATTCAGTTTAAACAATTATAAAAAAGGAAAAATGCCACCACATGCGCCCTACAGTGCGATAACAAATCTCTCCCCTAAAAGTCTAATGGCTTTCAGATGTAATATTCACTTCTAATAATAATCATCACATCTGGCAGAAGACAATACAGTAATGCTGAAAAAACCTTTATGCAGTCCTGTTAGTGTCTTAAAGAACCTAAAAGCTGGCACCAGTAAAATCCACAGAAATTCACTCTTGCCTTTAAGAACTTTTAAACTGTGTAAAAAAAAGGAAAAAAAAAAAAGAAAAAAAAGAAACCCAATAGGGCAGGAACCTAAATTCTGAGTCCCAATGTAAAAGTCAGATTTGGTGGTTCTCAGAGTGACACTGAGGGATTTGTTGGGGAGGGTGGGTGTGGTCAGAGATGGGTTCTCTTGTTGGCCTTGGTGTCTCACTGGTTTTCATCTTCCACATCCTGCAGCGCTTCTTTATTCTGTTCTTCACCTACAAAAATGTGTAAAAAAAAAGTAGTCAGCTGCTTCATCATTTCCATATAGGAGCCCTACAAAGTTGCCAACATCTTGACATTGATTGTTTTCATGCAGTTTAATCATATATAGAACATACTTATAAAACCAGTTTTAATGTAAAGTCCTTCCAAGGAAAAAGTTCTGCACTCCAAACCTGCCACATTTTACAAAACACTGAATTATGCCACAGGCTATTAGTACATGTTCCCAGCTAAAAGGACAGTCACCCAAGAACCAATAAAGTGACAATGAAAAGATGCACGTATGAAACTAGATGCTCTCTAAAAAGGGACAACTAAGACAAAATTATGGCGTAACTATCACACAATCCTAGTGACAACTACAACCAAACAGATCAAACTGTACTTCCCTAATAACCTCACTTTTACTATTAAAATGAAGAACGCTGACTTAAATAAAGAAATGGTGTTTAACACACTGGTATTTAGAAAATGAAACACCTACCACTCATTTTGCTTAGGCCTGATCTGCATTTGGAAATTTAGTTGGCATAGCTCTTGCTTAGGTGTGTGGAAAAAAATCCACCATCCCCAATCAACATAGCTACATTGGCAAAAGCCCAAGTGTAGATGCAGTTCTACTGGCAAAAAAAAGTCCTTTTGCTGGTATAGTTTATTTTGTTCAGGGAACTAGTAAAAGCTATTCTGCCAAAAGAACTTGTCTGTAATGGCTGCATCTCCACTGGGAGAGTTTATGAGGACAGCTACTTCAGGCAAGCCCCTTCTAGTGTAGAGAAGGCCACCTCAGTCTCAGTGCTACAGTCAATTTTGCAAAAGAACTCCACTGAAGTTGCACAGTATATTAGTTTCACCAAACAAAATTGGTATGAATATATTTTCCAACTTTGCAACTCCAACGCAGGAAAACAAGCCCAAAATCCTGGACTTGAGGTTAAAGATCACATTTTAGGCATTTTCCCTCTCTTGCTTCTTTTTTATGTCAATTAGTTTGGAGCTATACACCTGGTCCGTAACATGCAGTGAAAAACCAGCTTTTTCATTTGAACTGTTGCCTATGAATGAGGTCTAAACTAGTTGTCCCCTCCCACTCCCCCAACTAGAAGCATGCATGCCATCTGTCTATGCCTTTTCCTGAAATCCAATGGAACTACATAAAGTGAACAATTCTAAACATATGTAAGCAAATGCTGCAACATGTGAAAGGGTCAAATCAATTGATGAAGTAATTAAGGTAGATCTTTTTCTACACAACTACTCTTAACCACAATGAAACAGTTCTGCCTCCAGGGACAACATATAAACAGGATTATCCATTCACAGTTTGCTGTAAAATCCAATCAAAGCACTCAAATGACATTTGGCTTCCAATCAAAATGCCCGTGACGGGCATCTCCAGATACAGGATTAGCACTAGGTATGGGATTAGCACAATGTAAGGGAGGTTTTGGAAGATGTAGCTTAAAAGACCTACGTGTACAAGAAAACACCACACAAAATTATATGACAGATCCACTCAATTTAAAGAGAAAAACAGTAGAAGACCTAACCCAGGAAGATGGTTAATATGTACAGAAGATCTGAACATGCTCTAACAGGCATACTTAAGCAAATACTATAAAACAGACCAAAGTGAAGTACTTTTCATGCCCAAGTATTCTTAATATCTATCCAGTCCAGTTACAAAATGCCCAAGTCAGTTTGGGTCAGTTACAATTGATGCAGGGTAGGGGAGACAGGTCATGAATGGGTAGAAGAGTGCTTAGCATTGGAATGGAGTCAGATACAAGCAATTTATCAGCTGCAGGACAGTGGTATGCAAAGCATCATTAGTGACAAGAGGAAAACTGAAGTTGAAGAACTTCACTGAGCCATGATGAGGACTTACAAAGTAGAGTTTTTGGGAAATGAACAGTTGGACTTTCCTTTAGGAATCTACATAGCAGGAAAGAAGGGGAAAACAGAAATCATATGAAAGACAACATTACAAGCATGAAAATAAATTAACAGCTTGGATATGACACATGGTTAAAAGATAGGAGATGGACAGCTGTAGAAGCCCAGTGACATCAAATGTTAAGGAACAGTGATAGAGAACCTACAGAATTCAATCAAAAGTGAACAGAAGTAGTTAAAGCCAAACTATAACTACTGTTTTATTGGGTCTTTGATTTATCAAATAAATTAGTAGTTATATAGTAAAATAAAGGCCCACCTTTTCAATTTTTTTAAGACATTTCTCAAATGTACACATAAACAGGTGTATATACATTATGCTTTTCATATACATCAGTGCCCATATTAAATGGGTTCACAATGAATAGGACCCTACCACATTCATGGCCATGAAAAACACATCATGGACCATGAAATCTGGTCTTTTTGTGCTTTTACCCTGTACTATACAGATTTTACAGTGGAGACCAGCATTTCTCAAACTGGGAGTCCTGAACCAAAAGAGAGTTAGTTGCAAGGTGATTTTTAGGGAGTCACTGTATTGCCACCCTTACTTCTGCACTGCCTTCAGAGCTGGGTGGCCAGAGAGCAGCGGCTGTTGGCTGGGTGCCCAGCTCTGAAGGCAACATCCCACCAGCAGCAGTGCAGAAGTAAGGGTGACAATACCATACCATACCATCCTGACTTCTGTGCTGCTGCTGGCAGCGACTGCCTACAGAGCTGGGCTCGCAGTCAGCAGCTGCTGCTCTCCAGCGGCAGCACAGAAGTAAGGGTAACAGTACTGCAACACCCCACCCCTGCCTATAACCTTGCGAGACCTCCACCCCTCACTCCTTTTTGGGTTAAGACCCCTACAATTACAACACTTTGAAATTTCAGATTTAAATAGCTGAAATAATGAAATGTACTATTTTTAAATTCCTATGACTGTGAAATTAATCAAAGTGAACCATGAACTTAGTAGGGACCTAATGATCAAATACTATCAGTCCAAAAAAACCCTGATTTTACAGAAGTTCTAAATTTAGCATAGTTACTAAAAATTGTATTAATTTTAGAAAAATCAAAGTCAAAGTAAGAGACCTTTATCAGCAACAATTATTCACATTAGACTGGGCTCTAGGGGGAGGAGGAAGGCCGCACAGCTGGGCTCTGAGGGGAGTGCAGGTGTCTGGGGGCACCAGACAGCCCCCTTCAGAACCCCCTCAAGTGGAACTGGGTTGTCATAGGGATTTCTTTAAGTCTACACTCCTGGGGGAATCTTTTTTATGCTCTGTGTGTTGACATTCTTGTTAACATATTTTGAAATAAATTACCAAAATAATTGAAACTGGAGTGATTATACTGTGTTATTTTGACAAACATATGCAGAATTTTAAAATGTATGCAGAATTTTTAATTTTTTGGCAAAGAATTCCCCCAGGAGTATCCTGTTTGAGAGCATCATTTACGCATCCCAGGATCATATTAGCTCTTTTGGTCACAGTGTCACATTTAGTGGATTATCCACCACAATCCTCGTCTTTTTCAGAGTCACCGCTTCCCAGGATAGAGTCCCACATCCTGCAAGTATGTTCTACATTCTTTGTTCTAGAACACACATTTAGCTATGTTAAAACACATCGTTTGCTTGTGCCCAGCTTACCAAGCAATCCACTGAATCAGTGACCTGTCCTGTTCATTATTTACCACTCCCCCAAATTTTTGGATCTGCAAACTCTCACTGATGATTTGATGTTTGCATGTAGGTTATCGATACAAGTGTTTAATAGTGTAGGGCCAAGAACCAATATCCACTGGACCTCACTAGAAACATCCCTTTGATGATTCCTCGTTTATAATTATATTTTGAGACCAATCAGCCAGTTTTTAAATCCATTTACTGTATCCAAAATTAATCTGACATTCTAGTTTTTAATCAAAATGTTGTGCAGTACCAAGTCAAACATCTTACACAAACCTAAGTTTATTACATCCATAGCAAGCCTAATCTTCAGGAGGTGATTAACGTAACTAATATTGGTCTCCCATGCGGTTCTGAGTAGCAACCTCACATCCCAATGATATCTGTTGCTCTGCTCATCAAGAATCAAAAAAGTGAAGGTGTATTGACAGATAAGTAAGGCATGTCTCAAGCAGCATCCAGTGTGGTTACTTGCCCGGGGGGGGGGGGGGGGGGGAGAAGAGAAGAGGCAACATACTAGTAACTGTATTGTTAACATATTCTAGCATACTAGCTATCACTACAGTGTTTCTTTTTGAAAAGATCAACAGTCCACTAGTCAAATTCCAATTTTGTAAATATAGTTTGCTGACCTGAAATTTCCCATTTCAGTTAGAATTGTGAATATAATAATTTTTAAATAGCTTATGCACAGACAACTGGCTTTTAGCTATCCTGTTTAATAATAATCTCATTGCTTTCCTGGTGTTTCAGTTGAAAAAGAAAAAAAAAAAGTCAGTTGGAACATCAGGAAAAGCAAGCTTGACTATGGCATGGAGCCAAGGAAGCAGAAGCCCAATACTTGATTAGGACAAAAAACTGAAGATACTATTATGAATAATTTGCATTGGCAGGGAGAGGAACAAAGTGACCTACTGTAAATAGTCTTTCCTATCTAATTTCTATGTATTCTACTGAACACATTTTAATGAACTTGCATTCAACTAAGCACAGCTTCTTAGAATGAGACACAATGCACTGGTACCGCACGGTACCGAGGCAAACTTCAGTGCATCACTGACACTAAGCCCAGTTAGTTTCATCAAAGGGGAACCACCATACTAAAGGAACAATGATTTTGAGCACCTAATCATCGGGAAGACTGTATTTACCACTAAGTGTAGTATACTATCTGTACAGATCCATAGCTTGAACATGCATGAACTTTCTGCACCAGTTGAAATGCTCTAGAACAATGCTACTCAAAGTGGAGGTCAGTGGACCAGCAACAGTCCGCGAGCCATCGGCTGCCGGTCTGCTTGCACACTGGGGAAAAGAACTGCGGGTCCCCCACCTCAGATACCTTGAGAAGCACTG